ATGGCGGCGGCAACAACAATACTACAGCGAGAATAAAAGTTACACCTTCTTTCTTTGCGTGAACATTTGGGCGGTGTTATGCAAATCTTCCCACACAGTGACGTAGACATGTGGGGGCGTGTTTAAACGAGGCGTTTTAGGAGGGAGTGGACAAGTCTTCACTTTTATAAAGAATATCTCTCTGAGACTTTAGTCTTTGCAACTTTAGGGATCTTATTTATGCACGAACAGCTTGTAACACTCCAAAGAGAAAGGAAAACTTACAATTTCATCGTATGACCCCTTTAACTTTACAGTCTTTTTCTACTACTGTTCACTGTGAAGTCAAGGCATAGCCTACCGTATTTAGAGTACTGTTAATTCAGACTAATTTTTGAGTGAATTTAACCATACACTTAATATCTATTTAAAATAGCCTACCCATACAGACAACTTCATTTTTAGATTTTAAAAGTTTTCGTTCCATTTAAGAACATTGCAGACGGTCTTCACACGTTCTAAAAGGCTTTACTGTGTTTGTGAAATGGTTTTTGGAAATTTTGCCCCCACAAGTCCAGCAAAGACATGTTATAGATGTGGAGGGTTCGCTTCCCTTCCACCAAACACAATAGCACGTCTCCGCCAGAGCTGTGGGAAACACTGCGGTAGTGCAGCAGAATCGAACCGAACCTTCGGATCACCACGCTTTTCTCGCAAGGTTTAAACAATGGCTGGAAAACAACTAAAATCATCACTAACTCTGCACACATTTGTTTTTGTTTTTTGCGCAACTTATTCAATGCGAAAAAGTTTGGATTTAACACCTTCAACTTAAATGTAGCCTATTATGTGTAGCGTAAACTTGAAAGTTATAAACAACATTAGGCTATTCAAGCGTGCATAATGAAGGAATGCGCAGACAATGTTTTGGAAGATAAATAACTTTTGCCAGCCATAACTGGGTCATGACAAGACAAAATACACCCAACTGCGTTTCATTTGCTGCTAAGTAACAAAGTATGCGTTTGTCTGCGTTATTTCAACATGATTAATTGCTTTGAGTGTTTGCTGTTTTGTAAGGATTAGGTTACTAGCTACATCATTGCTTTGACAATTCAATTCCAAAAAAAAAAAAAACATATCGGCCTACGTGTCCTTATTTCCAGTCCAAAAACTCGAATTAGATTATAAATGTTTTTCTTACCTGTTGGAAACAGACAGAGAAACAGTACAACGAACTGGCGGACTTGTAGCGCCGATGGTCCTGCTCCTTTCCCCATAACCATCCATCCAGCACGGGACAGCGCTCCTCTCCTCTCCCTATTTACACCAACAATGTGAGGAAAGGCGAATTAGAGCAATGCTGCGACTTTCCGTTTGATTATAAGTTGCCGAAGAACCGCAACATAACGAAATCATGCCGCCCGCCCTTCCGTCGTACAAGTATCGCTGCTTTTTGTCAGGTATTCTCCGTGTTCACACACTCCCAACACTCACTAGAAACGTGCCATCGATCTTCCAGTTCGCTAGTGTCAAGGGTGCAGCCTACACTAAGAAGTGCACCAATAAGAAGTCACTGTTTCGCCACCAACCCCTCACTAGTTTCAAATTACGCCTGGGCTTTGAAAATAACTTCAGCCGTTTGTCATGTCTGCGAGCTCAAGAAAGTGAACACATTACTTGTTACTTTTTATTAAATAGCTAAAGTGTAACTTTCCTGTGCGGTTGTATGCATTTTCAGTTTTGAGAGAATCAAAATGAGAGTGAAAATTTATTTATCAAGTACTAAAATTACCTTGGTAATTAAAGCGTACTTGCGTCTTCTACACAAATTCACCAATTTGCCCATTTAATCCCATCTGTGCACAAAAAGAGTTGATGTATTGCACACACTACAAATGAAAGTAGATGGTTTTGATTTGTTTTGATTTTTTGCATGGCTGGTGTAAATAGTCACATGTCCAGAGCTGTATAACTACCATATTTATTTAGTATAGGTACATAATAATTAAAGCCTCTATTATTAATGTATCCAAAAAATATTGCTCTGTCTAATATAAATCATAATACATGACGGTGGTCACGTACGGTGGAAAAAATAGCCCCATTTTGAAGAAATAGTTGATTGATTCATATTTGATTGATTCATATTCTATAGCCTAGGCTAACAGTTATTTTGCAAATACATATGAATTCATTCTTTTATATCACTTTTATATCAACAATAAATTGTTACTTTAATGTTGTTACTACTTGTTATAATTGTAATCCGGAATAAAACATACTTTCAATAACCTTTTTATATTTTTAAACATATATAGGGGATATATATATATATATATATATATATATATACACACACACACACACACACACATACACACACATATGATTAAAATGCTACAGTCTGTTTCATTAGACTGTCCAAGTAGTTATATACATGACATATATAGCTGGTTAATGGGTTAAAGCAGGTCCAATCCTGGTCTTGAAGGGCCAACGTCCTGTAGAGTTTAGCTTATCCCAACATACATGCCTAGAAGATTCTAGTAATCCTGAAGATCTTGATTTCTCTGGTTCAGGTGTGTTTAATTGTGGATGGAGCTAAACTCTGCAGGACAGTAGCCCCCAGGAGCAGGATTGGACACCCCTGTGTTACATACTCATTTAAATGCAAAAGAGAGAATCAGTTTCTGATTAAAAATGCATTTGGAATTTATGATTTATTTGTACAGTTAGGGTTAGGAAGACATTTTAGGAAGAAATCAGAAATGACAGATGCTTCTTTCCAAACCTATACTTCAAATTAGAAATGAAAGAGCCCATACCACCCACAACTAAACTGCAATGATGTTTGCATAATCACTGTCTCTGTCAACATAAATGCACCCTAAGCATTAGCATACATTGTCAATGCCATAGGGTTTTTAAACCATCTAGCCAATATGTGATGTGACACCAGTTAAGAGATCTAACAAGCTCATGTCACTGCAGTTGCTTCATTAAGTCCCCCTGACAGATTACCTTAACAAGCTGAACTACTATAACATTTTTAATATTTATATAATACATAATCATACTTGGACTACTTTTTTATTTGTGTGAACATAAGATGAAAAATGAATGATGCTTGCCCATCTATAAAGTATAAAAGCTATTAATTAAAGTAATAAACAGTCTGATCATAAAAGTCTTGTTGAGATTTTGACAGGTCACGGTAACTGAAAGGTCCTAAAGAAGAGGAGGGAATGTGAATTTGTTATAGGGCAGGCTATGGTTTTGTTTTTAGTGGTCAGCTGTTGCAGTCCAACAGATGGCGCTTGCACAGTGGTGGAGAATGAATGATATCTCCAGAGATGCATCCTAGTGTATAAGGTTTTGAAAGAACCACTATATTATTTACAGTTCAACTGTGATGTCTTCATTTTATTTTGAGATTAGAGAAAAGTAATTGGAGGTACATAAAGCCAAAACATAACATTATGATACCTTATCTTTAATGAGCCAACACAGATGTTCAACCATTTGTGAGTTTAATTGATCATTAGCAGCGTCTCTATGATTTCTAGTGCGACAGAGGGTAAAATATTAAAATTTAGAGACGCAGCAAAATAACGCTCATTAGTGCTATGCATAACATCTAAAAATCCCGTTCTCCCTTTCTTCTATCCTAATTAATGCAAAAATTAAAATTATTCATAATATTAAACACAATCCTTACATTTAGATCAGCACTGAAGAAAAAGAACTCGACTACTTACTATGCGATGCAGACTTTTAAGTCAAAACTATAAGATATGCAATATAATGTTCTCTATATCATTTAAGAGGAGGTCTTCACTGTTAAAGTAACCACTGCAGAATTTTTCAAAAGAATCATTTGTCATTTGACAAAAGTTATTTGTCAAGAAATCACTCGGAACCCACCTTTTTGAATGCATGGAGCTCTTCAACACTTTTGGGTTGAGTTTCTTTGCGGAACCGGGATGAAGCTTGCGGGTCGAATCCGGACTGAAGCGCGTGCAGGCGTGCTTTGTATCAGTAATCCGAAATTCTTATTTAGGTCTATACATCGTTGTAAAACTAAAGGTTAAGCACTGCTTTCGTCCCTGCATGATGTCCCTTGTTTATCATTTATTATTTTAAAGGCGAAATAGGTTTTTATCTACACGCTGCTGATCTACTTGCGGTGACTGATGTTATTTTCGTCGGTGTCCTGATCTGGAAATGAAGGTATGATCCGTCAACCAGTTTATCGAGACACAAACGATAAAAAAGAAAACCTCGGAAATGTTTTCGAATCAATAGTGTTCTTCATTTTGCCGTGGTATTCCCAAGATTCCTCTGTGACTCTCGGGACTTGAGTGGGAAGAGCCCTCGGGGCAGCAGTGTTGATAGCGCTGGCTCGTTTCCTCGCCTCAGTGTTGTGAAATGACGAGTTTGAAAGTGTGAGGCACAATGATCAGCGCTGCAGTCTCCAACTCTCCACACTGTCATAGTCAATACAGGTTTATGTATGTTAAATCAACCTTTAGGATTAACGTTAAGATTATAATGTAACTGGATTAGAAAGAACACATTTTGTTTAAGCATTTTCTGTCTGTAATTTAATAAGTGTTTAATACGTGTGTGTGTCAAACATCTAGATATAATTACCATACCTATCTGCAACAATTTAAAGTAGTTACCCAATCTATTACTTATCCATAAACTGTGTAAATTAATCTAATGGTGTGTTGTTCATCCATCCTACTGGATGGTCTTTAACACTAATAGAATAGTCATGGACATTTTAAATGTTGTGTATGAATTTAATGTGGTCATCAAAATTACATGTGCAAAATCACATGTAATAACCGATATTGTGAGTGTGATATTGCTTCATACAACAGTATATACAACAGCTGTTCACACAGAATATTATATATATAAAAAAATTATATCCAAATACAATATATATCAGACAGTGACTAGTCAGTTCTTATTTGTTCGACTACAGCAAACAAAAATAGTCTGAAAATTGCAGAAGTATCAAGCTTTGAGTAATACCAAGCAACATATACAGACTGAAAGCTGGTCTGGAATGGAATATATAATGGAGCAGAGTGTCAGTGGTTTCCCCTCCCCCTCTCACAGCATTCAGTACTCACTCGACTCCAGTTCAGGTTTTTCCGCTTACCACTTTCTACACAGAGAAACCCCGTTATGAGTGAAAGCGATAACGCTGACACTTGGGCTGTGTCCTAAATCGCATACTCTCTGAGTAGGTATTTCTTCTGAATAAGTAATTACTTAGCACCCATGTGTTGCATGAATGTAATCCGAACATACTGTATTCATCATGTTGTCATGTGACCTATCAGCGTCAGTTGTCACCTCACTGGCATTCACAAATCCTCAAGGCCTCGTGGGATAGTAACTTGTCTATCAGAGGCACACTTCAGAACTTCTTTGCCTATATGAATACTGTGAATTTGGGCATACTATTCTGTTCACATATTGTTTTTTTTTTGCCTGCTATATAGTAGGGAAGTATGCAATTTCAGATGCAGCTTTAGACCTTTAAAAAAATTGTTCTAGTCAGAGCTGTGCACATGCCCAGCAGACGTTGGCTCACAGGGACCCAGGTTTGAGTCTATCCTGGCTCCCAAACCCTCTAAGCCCTACATTTCTCCTACATGTCAAATTAAACAAGATAACCTGCTGAATCAGATGAAACCCAAATTTAACATCCATTAACATGATAGCAAATCAAAAGTTTAGACTACAGTGTGTTTATATAAGAAAATCCTTAAAAGTAGGCGTATATAGTTACAAACATGTCATACAAACAAATTGTATCAGCTAGACTTGGTTTATTGTTGAGTGTAATTACATGCAACCTCTTACTAAAAGCAGTCAAGGTACAAATAATGTAATTAGACAGTCTAAATGTAAATGGCACAGATCCAGAAAGTAACTCAAGTGATAGAAACAAGACTGGCTGCTCTGAGTCATGTCCTTGTAACTGCAGAGCAGGGGTGTGACTAGACTCTGACAACGTCAGGGGCTGAGCCCATTGTCCATTTTAGAATCAAGAAATAAACCACTATGACCTGACTACATTATGCTAGTCCCATATGCATGAAATATGTTTCAAGTCCTGTTAAATTTAGCAATTAGGGAATATTAATATTTCAGCCATAACAACTCTCGGGATAGTTTCTAAAACATTTTATTTATTTAAATGGAGTGTGTATAGGTTTGGTCTGGGTGGACTAGATCTGCTACGCTGCTGCAGCCGGAGCCATGGTTTCTGCTGCTGCTGCTGCTGCTGCTGCAGAGCAAGTACGAATTGCTTCTGCTAAATGTTTAGTATATAAAATTAATGTAATAAGAAAGAGGGAGACATTGTAGTAGATCTAGGCAGGTGGTGCTGGGGAGGCGGAGGGCTTTTCATAGCATACAGAGTTATTGTATTCATTTCAGAACATGAATAGAGATTCCTAGCTGACCTAATCATTATTACAAAAAAGTACTTTTTTATTCTGTCACTTCATCTGACAGTTTGCCATTCCAGAGTACATTAGTGATGGAGATTTTTCCCGGTTTTCAATCGTTCAGGAAAAAAAACAGCACTTGTTTAGAAACGTGGAGGCTGATTCTGCATTGATTTTTTTTTTTTTGAGAACTTTTTCATTGGTTAAGCAAAAATATACAAAGTAACTGGCAATATTTTTTTAAAATGTAAGTAACTCAATATAAACTAATCAATATTTATCTAAATGTCAGATTACCTGTGGCCTCTTGCCTATTCTGATATTCGGAACAACAGCACGTTTGTGAGTGAGATATATTGCACATTTAACACAAGTATTTGAGGGGCCGTTCACATGGAATGTATTTTTTCATTTTAAAATGTGAGACACAGGGTAGTAAAATTGAGAAGAAAAAAAACCAGGGCCTCAGAATGTGTTTTTTAATAGTTGAACTTCTTTTAACTTGACAAGGCATTCTAAAAATGCAACTGTCATGCACAAGACACAAGCGCAATGGTCAAAGGCATCCATCTAGTATGTTTACATAAAACAATTGAAAAGTGCAGTGGAATGCAAAAATGCATTTTGTGTGAACAGCTGCTGCGTCAACAAGCTCAGTATCATAATGAATGGTCATTGTAATAATTAAAAAAAAAAGTTCTTCTTTGAAGCATTGCTCAATTGGGGTGTTACAGTTCAGTTATTGCATATCAAATCAATCAAATTGCCATTTGAATTAAAATTCCCGGAGTGCGCACATATGAAGGAAAGAAAAAATCCATCATTTTGCAAAAAAATCAGAAAAAAAAGATCTAGAGCATCTGAAAAAAAAAAAAAACATTCTGAGCAATAGCCCCTGCTGTAGAGGACATGAGAATTATTTTGAGCATATTTGAGCATGAGCATTTGAGACTGTTTGTTGTCAATCATAAATAAACAACTTAATGTTTGACAACCTAAAATGCTCTTTGACATAATATAATTTAATAGTAACAAATTTTATTAAATAGTAACATATTTTATCTTTGACATTACCCACTATGACAGATGCTTGAGGCAGGGGTGGATTTAGTGAATTGGGGGCCCCAGGCAAAATATAGGAATGGAGCCCTATACATTTGCACACATTTTCCTAGATCAACCTTGAGGTTCCTTTTTTGTTGTGATGCTTGCTGCTGCACAATGGTGCCCCATAGTTGTGGCCAGTGTTTCTACATTTTTCATGTACATGTTATAATGGCTTTCTTTAATGTTGTAGACCACGAAATAGCAACTGATTTACAGTTGAGATACAGGTTTTCACAAAAACAAAATAAATTATAAAATGATAAACCTCACAATTGTCACATGTTCAGTTTGTTTTGTCTTAGTTTTCATTGTGTTTCCTGTTTGGTTCCTGTTTTTCCTTATTTGGTCTTGTTCCTGTCTTCATTAGTTCCTTTGCTCATTGTTTAATTATTGGTTTACCTGTATCACCTGTGTCTAGTTTATTACCCTCGTTTGTCTTGTATTTAAGCCCCAGTCTGTTCAGTCTTTGGTTGTCTGGTCACATTTATTCTACGTTGTGTTTCCGATTGTCCTTCTGCCTTTTTATTATTAAACTGAAAGTTTGGTTTGCACCAGCTGTCTCCTTCACCTTCCTCCTGACACAACCGTGACAACAATTGAGCGTTTAAACAAGGGCTCACTACAAAACTACAAATTTAAATAAAACTGAAAAAATAATGAAAAGGCAATTATATATTTACACCTAAGGATTATATCAACCAAAAAAGTAACTGCGTATGTGTCCTCTACTTGGTTCCTTCTCATAAATGAGTAAGCGGCATTTAAAACAATTATAAACCTATAATACACACTATTTCTCAATATTTACTTATAGCTTCAGATGCATAATATTTTCATCTACTTCAAGCAGGATACACAAAAATCACGTTCAACTGTTGGATATTTTGTGCAGGAAGACCCAGGCAAGTGAGAATGTTTAAAAGAAAGAAATAACAGCATAAGAGCAATAACTAATGAGACATGAAGCCAAGGCATGTCTTAGACAAACTCCAAACAAATATGTCAGAACTGCCTGGTAGGAACACCCCCATCTGTGATTGCTGTGCCAACTGAAATAACTACCTTCATTTATCTCTTTCTCCCACAGCGCATATCAGGATAATCCTTCTTCTTTAGACTTCATGAATAATGCATCAACCTAATCCTCAAGAATAGGTGGCAGGTGATTATAATTACTCGGGTAAGACTGGATCTTCAAATACAGAGCTCCAATTATCTCATTATCTCACATGATCATTATAAATTCTACTTTTTACATATTCAAATTAAGTTAATAGCTATTAATTATGCACTTTGTATAAAAATCTATGTCATTGCCTATAAAGTTATATGTTAGTAGAAATATGATCAGTTGAGAAAGATAGAGAAAACGATCTTCATGCTTGAACCAACCAAAAAGGTCTATAATATTTGCAGAAAACTTCCACAATTTATTGTAATTGCTCAGCTGGTGCAGTGGCCCCACTATTATATAGAGAAATATTAGCAAAATAGCCAGAACGCATGGCAAATTATGAATGACTGTCAATGGAGAAATGGTGCGTTCAAGTCATGTCGGATACACTGTTAGCGATTTCTGTAAATTACACAGTATTTAACTGTAATATGAACTGTACCTGCAAATGTATGTACAATATTCCTGCTTTTTCGTTACATATTTTAACGAGTCAGTGTAATTTTAGGGGTTATTTGTTGGTTTAATTAAAAGCAAAATAATAATAATAATAAAACGCTGACATTGCACGACGCGCTATTTTTTTGATGATCCTGGATCAACATTTCAATCAACCAATCACAACTCTCTGATGTCATCA